CGAAACGTCAGCTTAATCGTGAACAAAGAATAGTAACACCTCGCGTTTGCTCAACAAAAATACGAAGAAAATCACTTTTACGTTGTGTTGTGAAATGTGGACTAACTCGTTGGAATCCTTTGATGTTTAGCACAGTACATCACAAGAAAACTTTAAAAATTATTATAAGCATATCAGCTTGGTGTATGAAACAACTAATACGACAGAACATATGTTTAACATTGCGTCTGATGAATTGACTTCAATCACTTCTATGGACACAGTAGATACGGTTTGATGCTCTCGCAACCACAATGAGTTAAACGTTAACTTCTTTCCGCGGCTGCGTGGCGATACTCTGAAACAAAGTGGGGAAAATTAAGTATTCATATTTCCTCTTCTAATTCTATTTGTCATTATGTTTATGCGGTGTTCTTTGGATATGTTGATGTAGAAGGCGGACAAATATACGTATAAAATCCAGCTCCTTGGATGGATGCACCCACTGAATAAATTTTAAGAATTATTTATTTTTTTTCTATTCTTTCTAGTTCTGCCTCGAACTAAACCTACATTACGTCGTTTTCTCCGATACTGCGGACGATGTAACCCATTCTCTTTAGGTGGTGCAGTACACTGTCATTACCGAAGAAATGTCCTAAACTGTTAGGTTTAGTTGATTTGAATCGCAAACGGAACACGTACGAACAGAAAGGTAGATAAACTTACCCGTACCGATTGCGGAAAACACTGTCAAATGAGGATTGTCAGTGAGCAACTGATTCAATCGGTTTGCCATTCTCTCATTTCGTTTCACAATTATGTCATCTCGTAGCTGTCTGTCAATCTAGGATTTTTTTTGTTTTGAATTGTTATTTAAGAAAAAAGTCCTTTAAAAAATCACTTCAAGGTGATTACTAAGGTCTTTGAGAGAAAAAACATTCATGCCGTAATATTTATAGTTAAATGTTCGGAAGTGACTTATTGGAGTCGCGCGCCATTACTCCAGCACTATTTCAATCTCGTTATTACTACTCAATATATATCAATTTCTTGTAAGCTTATCAAGGAGTACATTGTGATTTAGCTTGAAACCAAGGCGCGGAGAAACAGCATTTTTGCTGTTATCCATATTATTTCGCTACCCAAATTATGTCCCGCCTTTGACTATTAGTTTTTTAATTACACGTGGTAATTTTTTCGATTTCCTAAATCGCGAAGTAATCATGAAATAATAAAAAACTTCTCCTTCCTTTCTTCGTTAACAGACCTTTGCTGCAAGTTTCTTCTCCTTCTCTCCTATTTGCAAGTTTGTCGTTGATATGTCGTTTATTTCAAAGTATCTGTCATCAAGATTTCCACATCTGTATTCTCTAACAAGAGCTGAGACCGATCTTTCCGTGTTTATGTGGAACAATCGTTGTGTAACATGAAGATGTTCCAGGTAAGATATTGTGTAGTTGATTGCGAATATTATCTGGAATTCATAACTTAGTTGATTTATTAAATGTCAGTAACTCCAGCATAATTATGACTTTGACAACTACATATCAGAAGCACACAGCAACCCTAGTCCTTCAAGACTGCCTCTAATTAGTCCGACGTTCCAGCAACAAAGGAAATCACGGTGCTCAAATGCATATGCTGCATTGTAACCTTTAGTAGCCCTCGACCCATCTCCTCCATTAGTTGATACACAAGCAACTCGGTCCCCATTGTTACGTTGTGCCTTAAACGGGTGTGAATGCATGCAATCGCAATCCATGCATCCCTTAGGTCACATCACTTCTGTTGTCTCACCACCTAATGGAGTTCTGACTACATTATGGTGCGACAATGACTATTCAAATTGGTCCGTACAAATAATTTGGGGGTTGAAGGTAACGTGCAGAATATTTCCTATAAGAATCTCGAAAATTTTAGAAAACATTTTTAGGTGTGGGGACGTTGATCATAACGACTTTAATCGGTTAACAATATGCTGTAGTCGAGATTAAGCGAAGATTCAGAGTACATTCTTGAACATCACCTCATCTTGTGTAAGCGACACAATTGGATTGCATTGTTCATGAGTTGTTTCAATAGCCCGTATCTGTTTTTCTTCCTCGTATGCTTTGTTGGCCAGGAACACATCCAGCATGGGCGAAGTGGGACGATCCAGCAGATTTTCGCACAGCTGGTAGAGGATGAACAATAGCCATTCAGGGCGCTTACGGTCCCAGTTCCCTAAATAGTGTACGATTCGAGAGCACAAACACATGTAATTTGTAACGATTTCTGTGAATAAATCAAATACAATGCATTGTGCTAACTTTTAATTTACTGCCCATTACTAATTTTCACGGCAGAGTATGATGTGGAAAACAACCACTGTGAAGTTGAGATATCTGCAAAACATGAGACCCAGGCCAGATAGAACCGCGGTTACCACTTCCGGAAGCTTACGTGTTACGGACATCACCAATGAGGCCCTTGCTTTGCTTACTCATATTAGTCAAATCTGCTTTCAAATATTGTTCACCTTCCGCATGCATACTTACCCACTAGGTTTTCATAGATTTCTCGTGCTTTCCTATATGAATCGTTGAGTGGCTCTTCCTGCATTTGAGCCCAGCTAATCAAACTATGTCGAAAGATCGCCATAACTACAAAGTTTAAAAGTGATACGGATAAAAACGCCAAGATGGATAAAGGAAGCATGAAGTGAAGAAAAAATGAAAGAAAAGTCCACAAAAAAGTTTTCCCTACAGTTTTCAATTCGTTTATGTAGTTTTGGATGCAAGTAGCTGGCAGTAGTTTGTTTTCTTCTCAAATTTTTGCACCTTATAAGTCTCTTCACCGTTTCTTGGTTGTGCAGATCGATTTCTAACAACACGGTGTCAGAGTAGGAAAACGCCTCCCGAACTCGATCGGACACTGCAGAGGAGAGTTTACAGAGTAGAAAATGAACTAAAGCAATATGTCTTTCGGAATAAATAAATTTATAGACATGCTCTGTTCGAACTCTTGATATGTTATGTAGGAAAACTTGGCTCAAAATTCAAAGGTCCTCTTAAAGCTTTTGTGAGGCGATTTTTTTGCCAAGCAATTTAGTGATATTGGTGGAAAATGATCAGCTACGAGGTATAGAACCTGTCGGTGAATATCCCACTTTTTGTTCATAAAGAATAAATATGCCTTGAATGTATGGGTTTTGAATTCGCAATTAGTTTACTTAGCAGAAGCCTAACTTTTTGGTAGTTGTCAATTTTATAATGAACCTAGTGCCAATGTCATAAATAGATAAATATATTCCTAGTTGGGTTACTAGCCATTTTTCGTTTTTAAAAACTTTTAATGCACATCTCATTGATGTATTGATAATCGTTTATTATTGGTTAGATTTGAACCGAATGGATTTTTTTTTCTCAGCGACAGTGCAGATGTTTGCATTTTCGGTCCACTAAATTCCCTCCATTATAGCAACAGGTGGCAGTTATTGTAAGAATTGTTTGCTTCTCTCTAATTTACATGAATAACCAGTGTTGATTTAAAGACGATTCGGTTGAGTTAAATGGTCTTACTAGTGCCCATCAATAAAGTTTTACTCAACCAATTCCCTCATTCAACTTTCGAGAACTCTGTGGATGTGGTATGCAGTTAAATTGCTTCCACCTCACTTCACGCTAAATTAGCTTCAGAGAACAATGCACATGAAGTGTGAAAGCCCTACTCAAAAATGTACGTTTAGCCCACACTGCACCGTTGAAGAAGCATTAGCAGTAGCTGACAGCCCACAACTATATTCAAAATTACTGACAAGACTTCTACTGACGTTAACAAAAGGAAAGCGTTGGTCAGAATAGATATCTTAGCATCTTCGAGATGGATCAACTACTACACCACTATTGTTCGCATTTTTTATTTAGATTCTTGGTCTTGTCGTGATAAACGACCACGTGGTTAGTATAGGACCAGAATAGAAATTTCTATATACCATGATCCCAAACTTCGGTATAGGGCACATGAATCGTTCCGAAGAGAAACCCTCTTGAATCCTTCTCTGGATTCCTTATCGACCATAGAAAAGTATTGCGTTCGCCTTCATTCTATAAAGCAGAACAGTAATACCAGTTTAAACATTACTATCAAAAGTTACCTTGTGATCACATTCCGCATCACTTTTGCCTAATGTAGAACCGAACAACAGCAGTATAAAACTCAATTTAGAGTAATACTTCATTGGATTCCAGTCATGGCTACTGTTCAAAAGCGTGTTTAGAGCTCAGTAGTGTTGTGCAGACCTATTAGAATGTTAGCGCTGCTTGTCGAAGGGCAGCTAGGGTCAGAAAGGATTAAGTGGATGGCGACTTGTTATAACAAGGCGAGAATGGCGATGTGTGTAAATATTCGACAATGGGCGGGACATTTTGCTGACCACTCAAAGAGCAGATTATTTGGGTCTTAGTTGTAGAAACTCGGCCTACTTATTTGAAAAATGTTCTCGTTTTTTAAAACTTGCTTGATTTATTGTGCCATCAACTACTAGGCTATGTTTTTTTTTGAAAATCTGAATAGTTAGCACGGTAACTGTTCACGCTTACCATTCAATCAAGAGTTCGATCGTTACAAGTGTTGGATTTGATTACCGTGAAAACAACAGAGCAAATGGAAAGAAAAGGAATTTCATTCTTTTAGTTCCTGGATCGATTTTTTATTAACCTTGCTATTGGTCAGTAATTTATTGTTTTCCTTCTGAGCAGACATGAGGCTGTTATTCTACTATTTATTTACGGTAGCCGTTTCGACCGATTTCTGCTTCATCAAAGTCTGATAAGATCAAACTGATGTCTAGTTTAGTCAGTCAACCAAATATTTTCATAGTCTCAACAAAATTCGAAACCTAAATTTTAGCCGCATTGCAAGTACTTTCTTCGAAAGAGAGAAGTAATCACTCATGTCAGCCTTTTATTTACTTCCTACTCCAATTTTCCACAGCAGGTGAACACCTCAGCCCCTAGAAAAGGAAATAGCTGTTTCGTTCGCTACTGCATCCACCTGCGGTCCGGAGTTTTACAAATATCTCAGCATCATTGTCGTAATAACCACTTATTTTCAGAGCGAATAGCCATTTCCAGTGCTTATAAAACAGTAACTGCTCGGTATAAGGTAATGTGAAGAACCGTACTTTTTGTCAACGTTAACTATTACAGGTCTCCCACGTGTGCAAGACCTGAGCTAATAACTTCCGACGCCACTTGGCTTGGCTGCCGCTGGCGGACAAGGATCAAAACTACTAAACATTAAACTACTTTAGGGAGCAGCTGCACGAGGAAAATAGGTTTCTATCGGGCGTTCAGATGTGTTTTTTGGAAATACTTCAGAGCAGACATACCTTAATTAACTCTGGTCACAACATCAATGGCTACTTGGTGGTTGGATTTGCATAGACAGTCTCGAGAGCTTTTCTGAATTACGTACTTACCTTTCTGATTTGCATTTTGTTATATATTCTATAATAATCACCGTATCTACTCTATGTAAGGCAGAGTGTAGTGCAGAAAATGCTCTGAAGTGCACGCTTAGTCGATTGTTCGTTCCCGCATCCCTGCAACCAAATGCTCCATTCTTCTGGGTATCGGAAAACTGCTGCCAAACTCTTTAGACAGGATAGAAAAGCACTGAGATGATGTATTATTATGCTATCGCAAGTCATTGCACAAGCCAAACATAAATTCCGTCACCTCTGCGCTTCTTACTGAAGTATGATTCATGGCTCATTCCTGAGGGACTGATCAAAGCCGAACGCTTTACCCTTTATCCTCTATCTATCCTGCAAGTAACTAAATTCAATTCATCGCTAACTGTTACTTTTTTTGTATCTAATTTTAGCAGCTAAATAATGAGTATGGTTACCTTGTAGTTTGAATACATAGAGTTAAGAAGCTTATCGACAAATTACATCTACATTACCTTCACTATTAAATTTTTAAATTGCCATGATATAACGATCCAATTCTTTTTATTGAAACAATGTTTCGAAAAAGGATTATTTTTTATTGCATTGATGGGGTTTTGAGCAATGATATCGACTACTGTAGGCCGCATTTTGCCCGGCCAAAAGCAGTTCATATTGGATGGCAGTTGATCAGCATCCTGATCTGTATAAAAGTACACTGAAAAGTGAAGTTACTCCACTCGTACGATGTTCCACTCCAGTGGATTCGTTTCGATGTGACAGCGAACACCCACATCGCGACAGCGACCAACTATTGTCCTCAACTCTCATCAAGACGGCTGTGAACAAGGAGAATGAGCTGGAACGTTAGCCGAATAAAACTTCTTGTAACCAGCGCGTAATATCCTAATCATTGGAAAAACTAGATATGGTTGTTAAAAATCTTTATCGTGGGTGACGGTTCGGAGTTTACTTCTTCAGATCTGCAGATTCGACGCGGATGTGATAAGCAGCAGTTTTTTGTAGCAGTGTTGTCTTCGAAGTCACATCGAATAGAACCTAGTGGAGTGGAACACCGCACGAGTGAAGTAACCTCACTTGCAAGTGTCCTTTTATACAGCACGTTTCCTCATTCGTTGTTCAATGATGGTAACTTCTCCCATTGTTTTATGTTTTTTTTTCATTTTCGCCTTTTCTAAAAACATGTCCTCATGCACGTAACCGATTCATTACCACACGAAATTATATGAAAAAAAACGCATGTGTGCAAAAAATGCAAAAGGCATGTGGCAAGAAAGCGTTTTCGAAGCCGACCTCAGTTTAACATTTGTTTGAAAAACCGGTGTTTTATTTTATTAGGCTTCAACCTTTTTCTCAGCACTTAGTTAAAATTCCAGCCACAATAAAAAGTCTTCTGTGGCAATCGCGTGTATATTTATCAGCACAAAAATATGATGAATACACACAATTATGCTGAGTTATTTGCAATAGCTGGTCCTCAGGCCCATTCAAACTCCGATTTTTTTCCGGGGTTCCGGAAAAGGTAAATAATGGTACGGTATGGCCTGCGATTCAAGTTTTGCAGATATCTTTGCATCAGTGTGATCGTATTTCACATAATACCCAGACAAGAAAAAATAATGGGTGGCAGACAAAAAGTTTTACAATATAATTAAAATTCATGCCGACATTAAACCTCATTAAAAGCAGTTTCGAAAAATCGATGCTTCTCGACAACAGAGCCTATGACAGGCGACAGGCTTGAAAAAATTCGCTGATTTGCAACCGTATCCAACAATAACACAATGTGATAAGATTTTACTCTCTCCACATTACTACTTTGTTCACCACTGGAAAACCTTTCTATCACCTGTCACCTGTAGTCCGCTTGGTCATCGAGTGACTCGAGCCGGCGTCAGTAAATCTTCCATTATTCCCTGCCGCGATCAGGAGTAGCCCATTGAGTTATGGTCGCTCTAGGGACTCATTGATCATCATATCTTTCTTCTAATATTTTCGTGAGAAACTCTAACCATTGAGTAGGTGGCTTCCTACAGTGTGTTTGACTCTCCGAAGAATCCAGTCACTAACGGCTCTTGTCCATCAGCTGTCATCCACACACACTACGTGCCGGGCCCACCTTATCTTCGACTGTTCGGCGCACAGAACGGCATCTTTGATTTTTGATCGTTGACGCAGGTCGTAGCTTCGGATCCCTTTCCTCACTTGTGTGAAACGGGGTACTCCTAGCATCGTCCTTTCGACTGCGTGTTCGATAACGCTGAGTGATCTTTCATTCTGCTTGCGCAGCAACCAACTTTCTGACGCATACGTTAAAGCAAGAAGCACCGTTGAGCCGAAAAGGTGGCACGGAGTCGGGTGCTCTTTGTTTTCTTCACTACATCCTCAATGCTCTTGAAACTTCCCAAGCCGCTCGTCTTCTTCTGCTCAGCTCTGGAGCTAAGTCGTTCATAGATTTAGTCGAAGACCATTCCTTCCACAGGCTTTATCAAAATCGGCAATCATTCATTCCGCTTGGGTAATATTTCGTGTTGTAAGAACGGTATCATCAACAAAGCGAGGAAAATGTAGCTGCCGACTATCGATTTTCACTCTCATGTTCTCCCATTCCAATTTTGGTAAGACGTTCTCGATGGTAGCAGTAAATAATTTTGGCGAGATGGTATCGCCTTGCCTAGCTCCTCTTTTGACATCAATGATAATATCGTTGTAGAATGGTGATAGCTTGGTTGTGAAATTTTTGTACAGCTCGCGAAGAATCTTTATGTACTGAGTAGGGACTCATTGAGTATCAAGGGCTTCCAAGACTGCTTCTATCTCAACTGAATCAAAGGTCTCCTGTAATTCGGTGAAAGTGAGACAGAGCGTCTTTTGTACCTTCGCTGAACCTCAACGATTCTTGTTATCGTGTGCAAGTAGTTTATCGCACCGAATCCTTCTTTTCGACATCCTGTTTGCTTACATGGTTTTCTTTCGTGCAGTGTTTTGTCAATTCTGCTTAGGAAGACTTGAGTGAAAAGTTTTTAGACAACAGACAGTAAGCAGATTGGGCGACAGTTACCGATATCGTGCAGGCCACCCTTCTTGAACAACAACACGGTCTTGCTGGTCTTCCACTGAGTGGGGGCGTTGCGTTCAGACAGGTAACGTGTGAAGAGCGGAACCAGCGTGCTTACGAGGACTGGCGGAAGGTTCTTCAGGTGTTCTGGTCTTACCCTTTTCTGATCTATTGTTGTTCAATTTTTCACCGCGAAACAGTATGTTGTATTTCGGAAGGGAGAACCGGTGGTACGACACATCCATCCTTCTCTATTTTATGTGAGGAAAGGAAGACGTGGCTATTCAAGAGATCCGAGTAGTATTTGTGAATGATTTTCTCCATTGCCTTCCTGGACGCTGTAACTGTTCCGTCTTCTAATTGGCGAAGCTTCGGTGGGCTTTGCGAATGCTTTTCCCGGCCTCTGCAGCTTCGACCATTATTGAGATCTTCTTTTATCGCATGTCTGCATTGTTTTGAAAGTTCGGACGATTGTTCGAGGTTGCCTGTAGCTCGTGTGATTTCACGCTGTCGTATCAGCTCTAGTGTTTCTGGAGACAGATGTCTCTTGATGACTTTTCAGCTCTTTCTATGCTGTCGAAAAACATGACATGGAGAAGCCGAAAGCTATTCAACGGCCTTCTCCTCATCTACTTTTCGATGGAACGCTGAACATCGTTTCGGAAGTTAAATCGACATATCTCCTCTCGTCGTGTGATATACCAATTTAAATAAAAAGTCTGCGTTTCTCGAGCTCATAGAACATGTCTTTTACAATTTTCTTTTCAATGGTCCTCATTTCGAACCCGAAAACAGTTGAAAAACGGTGTTCGTCCAATAAGATAACATGGCAATGAATCGCTTTGATTGTAGTTACCGTTACTGCGTTAGAAACTTTAAAATTTAAATTACATTTTTCACCTTTTTGAAATTTTCAGCCACTAATATTTTAAAATTTCATTGGGCTTCCTTAGTTACTTCGATACTGGGATGGCCCGTCTTCACTAGTTGTGCCGGCTAGTTTAATATCAGGACGGCGGTGAATCATGGTAAATATTAGCTCTTAGCTGAACTTTGGGATGGAAACATTG